ATATATATATATATATATATATATCAATGCTAGTTTGCAAGAAATATATAATGATTACCAGGATAATTTGAAAAAAAAAATATGATGAGTATTTTAGTGGCAGATTCACCCTTCCTATTTTTTTTCAAATCTTAAAAGGGAGAAAAGTGAAAATTTTTTTCAAGTAACTTCCTAGTCTCCCACCATTGTAAATTCCACTCTATTTTAAAAATGAAGTGTGGAGCGTGAAAATAAAAATGTGAATTGCATTCTTTAAAATCAATTAGATGCGACTTATAAAAGGCTGTAGGCGCCAGAGCTTCCAGGGGCTTCCTTGACCCCCACTTTAGCACTAGGCGGCCCCCTTTTCCCCATACCAATGTATTATTTACATATTGATAGACTCTCACTTGGCCGTAAGGCCTACATATTGTTTGGGGGCTAAATAGGCCATAGGCTACACATTAATAAATTTTTCATGTTTAATTTTTGTGTTTTACAAAATTTAAAAATGTATGACCAGGGAGCATTTACAAGTATAAAGGCCTACAATATTGTAGGCCTGCGCTATTCCTAGCTGCGTACATGTAGTTCACTCCTAGCTCTTCCGCTGCATAGGCTGGCATCTACCAAGCCTCTGTGGCCTTCTCTGGTCTTAGAGATAGGCCTAGGCTAGAATTTGCGTCGCGGTTCGCTTCGCTCATTTCAAGACTTGTTTATTTTACCCGCGAGGGACGTTATCACACATGCGCTAGGGATCGTCGTAAGAATAGCATTGGGAGCTGTCTTCAAGACTCGTCGTAAAAATAGTCACTGCGAAAAACAATAGTAGTACATTTTCTCTGTTTTATTTAGCATTTCTTAGTCAGTATCTTGTATATACACCCTACAGATTTTTCGAATGGAATGCTATTCATTGGAATAGCAAAGTTTTTTACTATTTGGCCTACTTTGTACCTAGGATAAGTCAATCGTACTTAGAATTTCAGTATGGCTGGTCTTCGATATCAGCCAAACACTTATTCAGTGAGTCAATGGAAGTCAGAGGATAGCCTACAACGCTTAATTTTGCTATTTTGACAACCGTGTGGTGGCGTCAGAATAGCCAATTTAACACTGGAATGGAAGCAGTGCTTCCAAGAGTATGTGCGCATGCTCTTCTCACAAATCGGATAGTCCAGCAAACTTTAGTTGGTTGCATTTTTTTATTGCTATATTTAAAAAAAAAATTGGATATGATGTAGAGTAGACATAGATAAATCAAAAAAGAATGTGCAGCATTTTTTCTTCATACGTAAGGGGGGTTGCCAACAGTTTCAAAATGGCCGCCATTTTTCCTAAAATTGTCACTAATACTGTAAGTTTATGTCATTAAAATAAATTATAGTCTGAATACAATACAAAGTCCTACCTTTTAGAAAGCTGAATGTAATTGAATTACTATATTTTCCATTTTCTCCGAAAAAGAATTTGTTTTCAGCTCTACAGCTATAGTTTCCTTCATCACTTTCATCAAATGATATTATTTCTAATATTTCATCGTTGAAAATGTATTTGTCAGAATCATTGAATATGTTGTCACCATTATGGAACCACGTGAGTAAACTTACTTCCGGATTTGACGACGCAACATTACATGACATAGATACTTGCGTACCTTTAGGTTTTCGTGTGTCGGTAAGTGCCTTAATTTTAGGGTTATCCAGATCTGTTGATAAAATTCCATAACCATAATCACTATGTATTATGATAATGACAACCATCGTCATCATGAGGATGATAGCCTATGACGATGATGACAATGATGACAGTGTAGATTGGTATATTGTGGATGGTAATGATGATGAGGTTGATGATGAAGTTGCTTTTTGTTAATTATAGATAAAAATTATCACTTTTAATAAATTAATATTATTAAAGCCAAAAATATTAACTTACAGTTTACTGTTAATTTGCTGTCATCGGAATTGGGTACAGCTGATCCTGTAGACTGGTCGTTGACTCCGCATGTATATGTACCCTTGTCCCATCGCAAAACCTTTTTAATAACCAAGCTGACATTCCCGGATGTTGCGTCACCCAGTAAATACCTCGAGTTTTGTTCTGATGGTCCGTCTGACCTTATAATGACAGTTTTATTCGTCTTCCAGTACCATTTGCCGATAACGGCGTTGGTTGGAAAGTAGAAGCAGGGCAAGACTGCACTGTCCCCTTCATTTACACGTAGGTTATCTGCAACTAGGTCATCAATACTCCGGCCACCTATAAATATGCATAACAACATTTAAACTGTTTTAATTATCACTTCAACAATGAGATCAACATGTTAAACAAGCGATTTAGATGATATTAATTATAATTATTGTTATTGTCATTATCATCACATATTACCATTATCAATTTTCCCGAGTGTAGGCCTCTGTACTAGCCTATACGTTCTTGAACTTGCACATATTGAAACTTGTATTTCAGCCCCCTCGAGCTGAAACTCAAACAGGAGCGGTGAATTAATTAACCTGTGACCAGATCTGATAAGCAGGAATGGCGACATCCGGGGTGTGGGAGGGGGAGGTGGGAAGGCCCGGTGGGGGAACAATAATAACACTGGCACTCTCAATTTTTATGGTTTTTGTTTTTTGATTACAATGTTGTTCTCAATTTCTTTTCTAATCGTGATGACAAGGACAGCAAGCAAATAAGCCAGCTTGGTCTACCTACATAGGCCTGCAGGTATTGATAAATGACAATAAAAAGAGATCATAGGCCAAAATAAACAAACTGTTTCTCAGTTCTTTATTTTTTCTTTCGCACCGAAACCAGGACAGTCGAGTGCCTATCAAACAGGTCACGTGAATAAAACTCACTGATGTTGACCTCAGGTCAGATCAACATAAACATTATCATGTATTAGTACAAGCGGGGTGTCTACAAACACCCTATGCGGGTGTCTACAAAACAAACACCGATGATCAGAAAAACGAAGATCTGCAATTATTTCTCAATCATCTTAATTAAAAGAATTTCAAAATCATCATAAAACAGTTGCCGAGTACCCATTCCATTATTTCATTGGAATAAAATGAGGAAAATAAAGAAATACTCAAGGGTCTTTGTTTTATAGACATCCTATAATATGGGTGTCTACAAAAATGAAGACCGAAGACCAGAAAAAGCAAAGACCTGCATATTTTTTTCTCTCAATCGTGATGAAAATGTTTTTAAATTACTTCATGCTAAGTATATAATTATAGTATTCGTCTTTTTAGCACATTATTGCCTAAATCTTGGTCAATTTAATGATTTACTTTTTATTCCAGTTCCAAACGGCAACCAATGTTGTACGTCCACGGCTGGTGGCATGCGCGTGTTGGCGCTGCTACCTCTAAACGATCGAAAGTAGGCTTGGCCTAGCTGTAAACGTATTTTGAGGGCCTATAAAAACCTTGAATATTTAATTCATGAACTTGTTCCATGTTAAAATAAACAGTAGGAATATTTTATAGTGACGCATATGTGCTGCATGGTCATTTTGTGGTGACACCAACACGGGATGGATGAGATAATATGGGTGTCTACAAAACAAAGACCGAAGACCTTAAAAACGAAGACCAATATTTTTTTCTCAATCGTGATGAAATAATGAAATAAGTACTTGGCAACTGTTTTATGATGATTTTGAAATACTTTCAATAAGATAATTGAGAAATAATTGGACGTCTTCGTTTTTCGGGTCTTTGGTCTTCGTTTTGTATACACCCATAGTGTGCCTATAAGACGATCAAGACCCTTGAAAATTTCAAAAAAACAGACGTCCAAGAATATTTCTAATTTTGATTTTGTGACAGTCTGGGGTATTATCATCAAAATAAAAGAAAAAAAAAGGATCTTCGTTTTTGGATCTTCATTCTTCGTTTTATAGACACCCGTACAAGCGTGTCATCATGTTATGTAAAATCAAGCGACATTATTGCAACATTTGTACGAACACAAAATAGCTTAATTGTCGAAAGGGCAAACTACGAGAACGCTTAGTATGCTTTACTTTAATGCCCGTAGCGTAGTAAACAAACAAAGTGACTTGCAGTCGTCTTGAGTACTGGCGTGCTTTAGATGCGTTATATTACTGGAACATGGCTTGATACAAGCATTGCATACCCGTGGATTGGTCGCATGGGTGGTGGCATATAGATTGCAGCCAGCAAGACCTTCTTTTGATCGCTGCAACGAAGTACAGTATTGAAGGTCTTGCATTTGTGTATTATGGAGAGTATTTATACAAAACATTGGCGGCGCTACAATGGTGGAGCTAGGGAGAGTTACAACCCCTGTCTCGGGGAGGCCTCCCCGCCCCGTGGGGGAGAAAAACGACCTTTTGTCGGGAAGAAAAAAATTGCATGTATATTGTACATTTTAATAGACTCTAAAATGATTAAATAAACCTTTGAAACCCCTAATTTGTCATATTTTTTTTGGGGGGGGGCTGGGGCTACGACCATTGAACCACTTTCAAAACTTTTTTTTAGCAACGGCCGACAACGCCCACTTTTTTCTCGTCGGGGATGTAAGTTCCCCCCCCCCCACCTTTCTCACACCTGTCGGGACCATAGACCTCCTCTACCACCTTGTGGGGAAATCCTGGTGCCACCAGTGATACAAAAATGGATATACTCTTAGTTGGCTGCCTCTACAGACCACCAAACACAACTTTTGTTGATAAAATATAAGTAATCATAGCTAGTCCATTCTGATGTACACCTGTATAGCTGTTGGTATTTCATGATTTTAACTGCATAGTTTTTAATTGAATTAGTACAATTTGCCTGGGCCTTTGTCACCAAAACATGTCGAAACTCCATGATGTTCCTGATATTTTTAATTCTAACAGGTTGTTCCCTTTCTAGCTAGAATGCATACTGACCTTTGATCTGATGGCTCACTCATAGGTTATGTGTATGTAAATATGTTTAACATTGTAAAACAAGTTAATTTTTACCCTAGGATCAATTGCAATTCATGTTATCTTAGATGTGAGTACTGACAAAGGCCTAATATATATTACAATGAATTCATTCGTAAATTAACTAGCAAATCCTCTGACAAGTTTTTTTTTGTTTTTGTTTTTGTTTTTTTTGGTATTTTGTAAGAAAAGTCAAAGCCAAACTTAACTTTTTTTATCATTAACTTAAAAGAGTTATGAATAAAAACCATAGCATAACATTTAATATGTTTTTTTTAAACTGTTTTACCAATAATTCATCTCCTCTACAATTTAATGCTATTGTGAATTGTACCTTGACCGACACTGTCTTCTTTCATTAGCTGAAATTGAGACAATCTTCTGAAATCTTAAATATCGTAAATAAATCATAGACTGGACAATTTTAGAATTAACCTCAACGATGTTAAAAAACGATATGTCTCTTTCAACAGGTTCAGTCAATGATAAATGGAAGGTGGCCAGTGTGGGTCCAATTCAGTTCTTGTCAGACTGTGCTTACCATTGCATATCATCACTTGTAAAAATATCGTGTTAAACGAACACATTCCTCTGTTGATGTTAAGTCTTTGGGGTTTACTCAATGTTGCGTTATGCGCCTAGCTCAGTCAAGTAATCATTCAAATAATTCTACTGAATTCTAATTCTATGCAGACACTCATCAACGCTTGTTGAGCATCTGGATGAGGGCAGGGGCTGGATATAATATTGGTTCTGAAATATTGCATCATGTTTCGTGTATGAAATATTTGAGGTTTATCTTTAATTAAAACTTGAATTGGGGTCACATTGTTTCAGTTAGATATAAAGCAGCAAAACTGGTTTCATTAAAAGACTTAATAATAATATTGGAAATCGACAAGTTCAGCCTGGAGAGAGATAATAGGCAGAAGCCTAGATTCTTTGCTCACTCCACTTGTTAGATCTAATGATCCATTTGTTAATATTGCTAAAGTGTATAACTTTATCTGTAGGCCTATTATGGAATATGCAGTTTCGATTTAGTATCCACGCCAGAATTGTCAGTTCCAAGCGTTAGAACAGTTCCAATAGAGAATGAAAAACAAGAGCATGCTTTTTTGTCCACAGGGTTGAACTATCCTATTTACAAAGACTTCAAATCCTCCGTCTCACTTCAGTTGAAATTAAATCCATTTAAATTTCTCTCTGTCTTTCACTTCAAAATCTCTTTAGCATATTTTCCTTCGATATCTTTAAATACATTTGAACAAACCTAGACTCTCATGTAATATTTAAGTTTATTCATGCAGCCAGGCTTATTATCGTAGTAATACTGTAGACATTTTCTATAATCCGTTCCTTTCCTGAAACATGGAATGGGTTACCAATGGGGACAGAGACATGCTTGTGATTGGAATTTGGTCACTTTTAAATAATTTTTTAAAGAGCATTGTCTTGCCTTGAGCATTTGTTGGCAGCCTTGGTAAGTTTGGTTGCTAAAATTATCATTATTGTTAGTGTATATATCTTGAAATGTCAATTTTAACCTAAATATATAAAAAAACATTTTTTTTCTCTTTAAGTAGGCCTATTAGCATTATCTAATAAAAAGAACTTTACTTATAAAGGACATATTTCGACCTACGGTAGGTCAGACAACTACCATAAGCTTAATATCATTATTATTATTAATTATTGTGTAGTGATATATTATGGAATTTAAATGTTTATATTTATTCTATTGCCAATTTTAATTGTTGCAGAGAAAAGCCAAACCAGTCACTCGTCACAAAAATTGATATTTGAGAAATAAGCCTTTAAATGTTATGATTTCGGACAACTCTTAAGCAAAAATTGTTACAAAATCGTAAAAACATGTTGCTTTAACATTGAAAATGAGGAAAATAAATGCCTAGCATAACATATAGATATATAGAGGTTAATTTATATTTTACAATATCTAATAAAAATAATAATACTAATAATTATTAATAATAATAATAATTATTATTATTATTATTATCATTATTATTAATAATAATAATAATTATTATTATTATTATTTATAATAATAATAATAATACAGTAATAATAATAATAATAATATTAATAATAATTAATAATATAATATCTTTATAATTTATTTTATTTATCTTTATATATAGGTTAATTACCTTTTTAATATAATATATTTTTTATTTTTTATTTGTGTGTGTGTGTGTGTGTGTGTGTGTGTGTGTAATAGCGCTCTGAAAGGTTACTATAGTGCGCTATATTAAGAACTTATACTACTATTATTATTATTATTTATTATTATTATTATTATTATTAATAATTATTTATTTAGTGCAATGAAATAGATTTCAGAAATTTTGACATACAAGCATGTTTTGGCCATTATCTCGAAACAAGATTTGGGACGAGTGACTTGTTTGGCTTGTGTTTGCTACAATTGTATTTGTAACTTTTTGACGAACCAATCGACAGTGCATCATTTATTGGTAAGCCAGTCTCATGTCAATTTTACTGCATTTTTTTTTACTTTACATGGAGAAAACCTAATTAAATGATGATCAACTGACAGTCAGTTTAAAATTAATATTAAAATGAATGACATGTATCATTTATAATTGTAATTGGCGTTTCCTGCAAAAATAAATCACATGACACAGCCTGAGCAGGAAAAATGGACAGAGATAATTATGTTTTGCTGATATACATTCACTTAGGCTACACATCTATATGCCTATTGCTAATAATATGTATTAGGTACGGTATGTAATGCTTACCATTAGGCTCCACATAAAATACAAGAATTAGTACACTAATCCGAAGCAATATTCGTGATTCTAATGTTGCTAGATTCGATGATTGTTTGGTGTACTTAATACCAGCCATTTTTAGGTAGACCGTATATAAACAAGCAAACACAGACTTTGAAATAAGCAGGGGTATAGACCACTTTCGTTGTTTGAACTGGTAAACAGGAATTATATATATATATATAGACCATGTTCTTCGGTGTTTACCTTGGCCTGGTGGAGACGCTTGTGGCGCACTCGACTGATGACATATCCACAGAAAATTAGGCTACTTATGTCCGCTTTTTCAGGAGCGGAACTAGAGGGGGTAGGCGATGAGCGGACCCCCACCTCTCGGTTTTAGAGAGCCCTCATTTAGTAAAAAAAAAGTATACATGTTGGTAAAAGGGGCCACTAGGCAGGTGCATGGAAAATGCCCGACCAGTGGTCGGAGGCATTGAGCATTACTCCGAAAGAATTTAAAACAATATTACTTATCACAATTATTTAATCATGCTCTGGCAGGCTAGGTCTTCTATTTTATGGGTTTCTTTGGGTTAGAGACTTGATTGAGACATGCAACAACGGCATTGTTTGTTTTGTGTGCCCTTGTTGTCGACATTGGTACAGCGCCGGTGACTTTTTCCGGATGTAAATTTTTCTAATGTTATGGGCTAGTGTTCTGGGTGTGTTACGCATTTTACCAGAGGGAAAACACTTTTTTTGTTTTTGGAATAGCCCACCCCCAACCTAATTCCTTTAAAAATTCTTTAATGAAAGAAAATTATATAAAGAAAGAAATGAAAATTATATTTAATTAAATTAATGTCTGAGATTTTCATTTCAGGCCATCTAGAGGTGCTCTAATTATACATTTTCTTATTTCAGCCCCAACCATGATGATGATATTGACACCCTGTCTGTGAAAGTAATTTACTGGGTCCCTCTATTTCAAATACAGAAACCAGAGTGCATGCCCTCTTTTCTGGACACCCCCACCTGCAGCTGTTTGACTCCACCACCTCTGCTTTTACTGTTGTGCCAACTATATTCTGAAAATGTTGTTCCCCCTTTTGAACAATTATGGGTCTGCCCCTGATGCTCAAAATATGGCGTCTATTTTTTCTTTGTTAATGTAAATGAAGAGGCCGCTCGAAAGACAGTTAAATTACACAAATCATTAATGATGTTACTTGGCCCAGTATATACGACTGACATGCTTACCTGGATAAAATTAATAAGTTTATTCAGGTATAAAATAATAACTAAATGGACAACTAACTTAGGTAAATTCGCGTCAGGCTACGTAAAATTGCGTCAACTTAACGTTAACTTACCGTGCATTATTAATTGCATTTTTTGTTCTTTTTAAAGTTTTAAAGAAAATAGGTTTTAATTATTTGTATTTTCTATTTATAAAGACCGATCTGGATTGTTTTACATCTTTTGTGGGCTATCCTTGGTTCTGCTGTTTTTCACGTTTTTTGTTCTAGTATTTTAACGTTATCGAATCAACATTTTTCTCCTGATTGAATAGGCTTTTATATCTGTTATAATATTTTCTTGTTCCTGCATCTTTTAAGACTGTATTTTATCTTTAAGTATGTTTATTACTAGAACCAAATAAAATAATAATCAAAATCAATTCAAATCAGTGCAGCACATACTCCTATAAACTAGCAGTGTCGACTATGCGACCTCATGTTCTCAACTTGCAGGCCTCTAAACTAGCTCTGACTGTAGTAAAAATCGATTATTTGAGTTACCTTATTTGCAATTTAACTTCAGCATCATCCTGAACTTATTTTAAATTTTGCTATTTATAGCCAAATTAAATAAATAAGTAAATACAAATTAAATAAACATCATAATACATCTATTGAAAAATATGAAGAGATACACATGAACATGCTAGCCATAATGGAACATGAACACACAGAATTAAAACTATGATATTTCGACTTCTACCACTAACATCCAGTAACAGTCATCAGTCAATTATGATCTTGAAGACATGTAAGCCTGCTGCATTTCATCAGTCAGATCAATAAAATAAATCACGGATTAACTAGTAGGCCTGGCACAAAGGCGTTTTTGTTTGCCGTGCTTAGGCGGTTTTTTTTTTTTTTTTTTTTTTTTTTTTTTTTTTTTTTAATCATACAGGAAAAGCATTTACCCCTAAAATCACTTTCAATTAGGCCTATGCTTTGATAATTTATTTTGTTGTTACAATGAATGACGACTAGGCCTACCTGTTTACCATACAGAGACTTTATTTATTTATTTTTTCATAAAAAAAGCATCTTAATTGTAGCAGTTCTTTAAAGAGAACTGCCCCCCCCCCTCGGGGTAGCCACTGGAACACTTTTTTGAGCGACGCCCGACCACGACTGTTTTTTTTCGTCGGTGACATCGCCCTCCCCGTCGGGGACCTCGGACCCCTCCTCAGGCAAATACTGGTGCCAACACTGAGACTGATAAGCTCATGCAAATCTAAAATTACAATATTAACAAATGCATTTATTTAGTCTATCTATAGGTTAGATCTTGGAATTTCATAAGAAAACTGTAAACAACACATACATGTTATCTTAAGTGAATGATATGACTTATAATTTGAATAAAAAGACACGGTATACCTGCTATAATAAAAGAGGCATAAATATTTTTGAAAGAAGTATAATTTAAACAACTTTTAAAGTTTAAAAAAATCGTATGGCCTGAACTTGACAACACTATTATATTTTAAATTTGGTCAGTTATAATAGCAGACAAGAAATATATCTGAATAAAATCACAACAGAATTCAAGCTGAACATTTAGGCTGACCTAACTGTTTTATTACAAAAAAAAAAAAAAAGAGAGATAAAAAAAAAACTCGATACAAAAATGTTTGTGGACAATCTAACTTTTTCTAACGTATAATGTGGTATAACAGTAGGTGCAAAGCAACAAATCTCTGGTAGTCGGTCGAGTGTAGTCGATAAGGTAAAAATTAATGGACATTGTAATAATATCCACATGCCTAGATACTTAACGTACAGCATAGTCTTTGTGTAAAAAGCAGCGTTGAATCTGATCAGTTATATGAGTAGGAGCAGGAGATAGGCCTATAGCATACTAACTGCTATACTACAGACTCTAAAGGGTATAGACGTTTAAAAATGCTAGGACACATATTAAGACAATGAAATTCTAGTATTGTTTTAATGTTGATTTTTTTTACTAACATTTCGTTCATATAACTATACCTCCATGATATAACAATATGTACAAAAGTAATAGGCCTATTAGGCCTAGAATTTTAATAAAGAATCAAGCAAGCGGAACTTCAAAGGAACAGTGACGTAACGAAGCCGAAAGCCCCGAGCCAGGCGAGGAATCCAGGGCCCGCAAAGGATCTTGGTGGGAGTTTGGGTGTTTGTATCGTTTTGAGATGTTTATTAATGTCTTTTTTTTTCCACAATTGTGTTCTTAATTTTGTATCGTGATTTAACAAAATAAGCTTAATATATTGTAATTAAGATTTTGCTCGTCTTTAACTTCATTTCTAGCTAAAGTAAAATCAAGTGATGATATTTGATATTAATCAGTAAGGTAATTATTACAAAAAAAAATATTTGCTATACATTACATTGTAATAATAAGAGCGTGATATCGTTTCTATTACAGTGGCGTAACGACTATGAGCTGCCACTGGCTAAGGCCAGAGGCCCGGAGCCTCAGGGGGCCCAGCAAATTCAAACATTTTTTAACAAATAACCAAGACCCTTTTTAAAGCCGAAGTCGAGTGATTAGGGTATTCTTATTATCATCATCACCATCTCCAGTCTATATATCGATAAAAACATTAAACTATATATGTATATATATATATATATATATATTTATATATATATATATATATATAACAGGGGTGGCGCCTGCCCGACGGAGGGGCTAAAGGCCCCGACGGGGGCTAGCGAATCGAGCCTCACTTGGCTGGGGGCCAGGGGGCCGCCCAGGGCCCCTGGTGGGGGTCCAGGGGCCCTAGTTCAGAACCACGGATATTTGATGAACTATGGCGAATTTTTATTACTTATTCGATAGGCATCGAGTTAGTATAATATGACTTCATAATTATGCTTTCTAATGTTGACATCAGTTTCCAAAACCAAAACATTTTGAATAAAGCAAGAAACAAAGAGTATGCAATGTAACCATCTAATTTATTTTCAAATCCTCATTCTTGAAAGTGAAATTCTATATCTTGGAAATTTTGCATGAAATCTGTCAACCACGTAGTCATGGTCGAGGTTGCTTCACATATCACGATGTATTCCAACCATCATGAGGCTATCTAAATGAGCATTTGTCATAACAAAACACAAATTATTTTTAATTAGTCTCATTGAATTATTATTATTATTATTATTATTATTATTATTATT